ACACGAGGTGCTATTTTATTTCTTTATTTACGCACAAACTGACGTTTCGGCGGATTTCGCCTTCCTCAGAGCCTGGAAGGGTCAAGTTGACAGCAATCCATTCGGCCAAACACCTCCACAAGCAAACAGAGAAAACGCTAAACCAAGATTTCAATCACCTTTAGCATAGCTTTGCACACTCACCGCTTTTTGTGAGGCTTCCACTGAGTATGTCGCGTGAAGACCAACCGCACAGAATTCACATGGAAGCGTAATGTGCCCCTCCCATCAGAATATATACTGTCCAATATCACGCGTGATAACGAGGCATTCCTCCCTGCGGTTCATTTTCGGATTCTTGGAATTAATCCAGAATGCTTCCAGAGTTTTGCGCTCTTGTGTTCTCGGTTCTTGCACGAGGATTGTAACCCTTGCTTCAAAATCTTCTCCGTTATGTTTCTGCGTGCTATGCGTACCTAGTGGAGTACTTGGCTTACGTTTGCCGACTAGGTGTTCTTTTATACGTACGCAGAGTGGTCTACCCGTTTCGCCAGCGTATTCGTCCCCGCACGCTTTACAAGAGATCAGATAGACTCTACCCGAACTCATGCAGTCACCGTCTGTACCATTGGGACAAATTATGCAATGCACATAGACGGTCGTATAGGCGGTTACGAATTAGCTGGCGCCTTAGATTACTCGGTGGTATTTCGATTATCGTTACCGAATTCTCTAGACTGGCCCTTCTTAAACAGCGTTTTATAGCTGCACTTACTTCATTTGAAATGAAGGGCAGTATAAACGGGACCTTGTTGTCGCTAGAGTTTTCGTTGGGGTACCTGTGGTTTCTTCTACACCTATCTCGAGCTACGGTTTCGTAGCCATTAAAAATGGCTATTTGCCGCACCAAGTTCCGGGACTCCTCTCTTTGTTATCTTCCTGTGCACACGCTGGTAGCTGTTCGATACATGTTTCTCACAAGCGCCCTTTTCGTGTGAGAAGGATGAGAGGAGAGGTAATGAACTAGGATGTTTTTACTACTTGGCTTTCGATACTACTTCGTAATGTAGCCGTTTTCTGATAGGCTAATTTGCACGTTCAGAAATGGAAGCCAGTCTTCTTTTGGTTTCTCTCGGGTGAATTTAGTATACTCTGACTGTGTGTTCAACAACTCGAAACATCTGTCAATTTCTTCTTGTGTTGAACAAATGACCAAGCAGTCATCTATATATCTACAGTAGAGTAACAGACCGAGGTCAATTACTGGCGCTTCCACCTTAGACATGAATGCAATGGCAACGCTTGGTGCCAGTCGTTGTCCCATTGCCAGCCCTCTCATTTGTGCGTAATACCTCCCGGACCATCTGAAGATTGAGCAGTTTAGGCACTCCTTTAAGAGTGTCATCAACTGCTGAATCGAGAAGCCGTACATGTTTATTGCTCCTTCGTGTTGTATAAGGAGCTCGTTTATGGCTTTCATAGCGGAGTCATTCGACACGTTCGTATAGAGGGCAGTGACGTCGAAGGACTCCACCACGTACGCGCTGTTGGGTCGCGCGTTACGTAGACGATCCAGGAACATTTGGGTGTTCGTTAGATGAGCTGGAATGTACTTCAACAACTGAGTAAGTATTAGGGTTATTAACCACGTTATTCTATCCGTTGGCCCGTCCACGCAGCTAATGATAGGTCTAACCTTAAATAACGATGGATCGGTGGACACGAGATCATCGACTAGACTCAAACATTTTTTTTCAAAAATCTCATTTTTTTCATTCCACCAGATTTTTTTGTTTTCCACCCAAACATCGGTTGGTGTCCAAAGGAAACTTTCAGATTAGTGTCACTTGCATCACTTTTGATTTCGTTATTCATCAAGTAGCTCGAGTGTGCACAAGTGAATTGAATTCGTTCTCGTCACGTACTATTCACAATGTTACGTCATTCTCAGTGATATTTTCTTTGGCTAACCTTTCGGCACGTTCGTCTTCTTCAAGGCCGCGGTGATTCGAACTGATTATTACAGCACTTAATTTTTGCATTGTGAAAGTATATGCCGGACTTCGCTTAGTTCACGGAAACGAGGAGCACCACACTCCTGGTCTAATGTCCTTTTCACCTCCCTTGGCGATGACGGGGCACTCGGCTGGTTTTGCCGTGGTGTAAACCTACTCTTAGCTAGACTTCCGAATGGAATGTCGCACCTTTCTCAGAATGAAGGATCATGGGAAACGATGAATTTCT